CGGGTGCGGGGGACTCGCCAGCCCCTCGCTAGCCCCGGACCAGCCCCTCACAAGCCCCGGGCCAGCCCCGCGGGCTGTTTGATGAGCAGAGGGATCAGGGCCAGCCCCGTAATCCCCCGGGCTATTATCAGAGCCATAATCGGCTCAGGCCGCAGCGGCCAGTTGGCTCGGGCCAGGCCGGAACGAGTGGACAGCGGCGAGTGACGGACGGACAGGGGACGGACGGACCGACTGACTGACGGAGCGGGGACTGATGGACAGAGAGGGGATGGACGGATAGAGAGGGGATGGATGGACGGAGAGGGGATGGATGGACAGAGAAGAGACCGACGGACAGAGCGGGGACCATCAGGATGGGCACCCACTGTCCGGAGCACCCACTGTCCGGAGTATCCCCTTCCCCAGACACCCATCCCCCCGGGCACCCCCAGCCCATGCCAGTCCCATCCTTTCTCCCGTGACAGGGACAGCCCTGGGGTCCCCAACACGGGGACATTTTGGGGAGCCCCTGCACCAGCTCTGCCCAACATGGAGAAATTTTGGGGAATCCCTCTGCCCAGTGTCACAGCCAGTTCCCCGCAGGATGGGGATGAGGAGGAGGATGGGGAGGGGGAGGAAGAAGAGAAGGGGAGAATGAGGAAGAGGAGAAGGAAGAAGAGGAGGATGAGGAGGAGCAAGAGGAGGAGGAGAAGGAGGAGGGGGAGGATGAGGAGGAGGAGGATGAGGAGGAGAAAGAAGAAGAAGAGGAGAACGAGGACGAGGACAAGGAAGGAGAAGAAGAGGAAGAGGAGGATGAGGAGGAAGAAGAGGAGGAGGAGGGAGAGGAGGAGGAGGAGAATGAGGCTGAAGAGCATCCCCACCCCTCTGCCTTCACCCCACGGCTCCGAGGGCGAGCCCTGACCCCAGAGCCCCATCCCACACCTGGCCCCGGGAAGTTTTGAAACAGCTCCGGGGTGTTTTGGGAAGTTTTGGGAACATTTTGGAAGCTCAGGAAAGCTTTGGGGAAGCTTTTCGAAGCTCTGGGAAACTCTGGGAAGTTTTTGGAAGCTTTTGGAAAGCTTTGGGAAGTTTGGGTAAGCTCGGGGAAGCTTTTGGAAGCTGGGGAAGCTTTTTGAGAGCTCTGGAAAGCTTTGGCAAGCTCCAGGAAGCTTTTGGGAACCTTTGGGTCAGCTCTAGGAAGCTTTGGGAAGGTTTTTGAAACTTTGGAAAGCTCCGAGAAAGCTCCGAGAAGCTCTGGAAAGTTTTGAGAAGCTCCGGGAATCTTTTGAGAGCTCCGGGAAGTTTTGGGGAGATCTGGCAACTTTTTTTAAGCTTTGGAAAGCTCCGGGAAAGCTCCAGGAAGTTCTGGGAAGCTTTTGAGAACTCTGGAAAGTTTTGGGAAGCTCTGGAACCACTTTAGGAAGCTTTTGGAAGCTCAGGAAAGCTTTGGGAAGCTCCAGGAAGCTTTTGAGAGGTCCGGGAAGCTTTTGAGAGGTCCGGGAAGCTCCGGGACAGTTTTGAAAAGCCCTGGGAATCTTTTGAGAGCTCTGGGAAGTTTTGGGAAGTTTTGGGCAGCTCTGGGAAGTTTTGGGAAGCTTTGGGCAGCTCTGGGAAGTTTTGGGAATGTTTTGAGAGCTCCGGGAATCTTTTGAGAGCTCCGGGAATCTTTGGGACAGGTCTGGGACAGCTTTGGGAAGCTTTGGGAATGTTTTGAAAGCTCCGGGAAGTTTTGGGAATCTTTTGAGAGCTCTGGAAAGTTTTGGGAATCTTTTGAGGGCTCCGGGAATCTTTGGGACAGGTCTGGGACAGCTTTGGGAAGCTTTGGGAATGTTTTGAGAGCTCCGGGAATCTTTGGGAATGTTTTGAGAGCTCCGGGAATCTTTGAGACAGGTCTGGGACAGCTTTGGGAAGCTCTGGGAATGTTTTTGGAGCTCGGCGCCGCCGCAGCTGCCATCCCCCAGCCCTGGGAGCAGCCGAACAAAGGGTCACTGTGGAGAGATCAGAGCCCCCGAGCCTCCCCCTAATCCCCCTCCTCATCCTCAGCCCCCTCCTCCT